CCCCAAAACCCCAAAACCCCGAATAGTAGATTTTAAGAAATCAAAATTTATACAAAAATAAAAATTTTATAGCAGCCTAAGTTTAAGTACTTAGAGCTTGTTTACATATATACATAATAATTTAAAAACAATAAATCATTAGTTACCTAATTTCCTCTACATCAGCTATTATATCATCTTCTTACATTTTTCTTTAATTGCAAATGCTTTGAATTATACCCCCTTTTATTTGAGTTTGTAGGCATCATAAATCTGTTATGATCTAGGGGAGCTATGTAAAAGTCAACATACTAACCTCTAAAACCTAATTCATCATCATTAACTATGCTACTATGTATAGAATGAGATTTTGCAGCAGTATTATCAATACTTTTATGGTATAAATTCTTTCTGTTCTGCCCAATTTATTGGCTTGCTATGCTTCCATTTTTACTTTTGTAATATGTGCTAATATTTGCTGTAGAATTCTATTTAGGCTTTACTTGCAAGTGATTATCAAACTCTTGGGAGAGTTTCTGTCTCATGATTCTTACAAACTTGTTAGTATTAAAGTCGACAATTTGATTCTAACTATTCATTTTCAAATCATGATTAGAATGTTAATGAGGTTATTCTTATTATTTTCTGATCATAGATGCAAATGCCATTCTCAGATTATTCGATTAAAATGTTGAATTCTATGGATTATTGTCAGAAGATTCAGCAGGACGTGAAGATGAGTTTTCAAAGTCAGAAACTGAGCCATTCTATTGGAGTTTTAGCTAAAACTAGAAAGTATCGAGATATTAAACATCTGCATGTCGATTCAAATTTGGTGTTTTTTATCTCGGACTTTTTGAATGAATCTAGTTCTTTGCATCTACCAGAATAAATGTTGATAATGGTCCAGGGAGAGCAGTCTAATCTTCCTTCACTAACTTTTTAAGTAAAAACCCAGTTTTGCCATGCTAATGTGGAATAGCGCTTGAGAGAGTTTTGCCTTGAGATTTTTAGTTCGGCTACTGGCTGTGGGATCGTTACGATTATCATCTTTTTCTTTATTATTTTTCTGTTAATTTCATTTGCTTCCCCTTTTCAAAATTCATCTGTATTTATTTCTCAAGCATTATGCTTGGGGTATCATTTGCTAGGATCTTTACTTCATCGATTAGCACTTTCTATGTTTCATCATTTGGATTTTCTCTAGGAGTGTGGAATTCAGCTGGTAATTGAGTTATAGGAGTTGTAGTTGAACTGGATTTAAATCTTTTCCACATATACGAAATCAAGATCATGATGATAACAAAAATAGTAATGCCTCCTAGTACGAATATAAGCAAGATCATTATAGGACTCAATTTTCCTTGCTCTTATTCTTGCTCCTGCAGAAATCAATGGTTTAAATTAAAATTGCTTTATTTCTATTATAAATGGGTTCCATATTAAGTATTTTTAGAAGAATTTTCTCTAAATTATTTAGCTTCATCAGCATTCATGTCCAGTTAATTATTTATATTCTTTTTCATTTAATATCATAGCAGCTCTACATTATTTTATGGGGTTTTGGGGTTTTGGGGTTTTGGGGTTTTGGGG